GTGCACAGAACCCAAAAAAGACCTTTACGTCCTGCAGAAAACACTTGCAGGCTTGTTGTTTTTACAGTCTCCCCAGCCAGCCTGATTTTAATTTGTTATTTAATGAACAAGCACTTATATAACACTTACCACATGCCAGGACTGGAGCTTAACAAATGCCAGTGCCTTTGTTTTGATTTATTTTACTCCAGGCAAAACTTTTTTCCTGGTTTCTGTAAATTTGCGTGACTGTTGTAATTGTAGGCTTTTTCCAGATGTTTACAGTCTTTTGACAGTTTTAACTACCCAACACAAACTTAGCCTTGCTTCTTCCTTTATTTTCTACATAATTTTGAAGCCTCCCAACACAGGCTAAGGGCAGGGTCTCCAGAGCCAGACTGCTTAGATTCAAATCCCAGCTTTCTACTCACCATCTTGTGACCTCAAGCAAGTCACTTCCCCTCTGTGCCTCAGAGTCCTCATCTGAATCATGGAGGTTATAGCAGTCACTACCCCACAGTGTTGGGAGAACTGCATGAGTCAGGACCTATAAAGTGCTTGGTGGTATAGTGCCCAGCTTGGAGGAAGCAGTGGACAAAGATTAGCTGCAACTGTTTTCCCTTTTTGCCTTCCAGCTGAGAAGCACATGGGGAGGTGTGTGTGTTTCACTGTTTGCCAAACACATCACCTTCATTCCCAGGAACTTCAAGGGTCATTATTCCTGGGTGGCTTTTATCCTCAGGGTCTCCTACAAGATCCTTGAAGCTAGCATAAATGTGGGGGTGGGGGATCCAAAAAACTAATTGAGGATCACTGTCCTCCTGTGGTTCAAGAGGTCTGAGTTTGAGTTGGCTGACGGGTGTCCTAGCTCTGTGACCTCAGGCAAATCACTTCAGCTCTTTGTGCCTCAGTCTCTTAACCTGTAAAATTGATTTAAATGAACTAACATTGGTAAAGCACCCAGCATAATAAGCACTCAACTACTTAGTGATATTATTAAGTTGTATATGAAATGATTAAAAGTAACTCAGTGTTCTTTAATTCTTAAGTGGAATTACCACACGGTGCCACACGAGGGCGCTGATACATGATGTCAAAGCAATGCTCCTGCCCTGCACCAGTGATCCTAGGGAACTTTGTTTCCTTTCCTGGCTCAGGATTACCAACTCTGTTCTGGCAATAGGATAAGAAGGACCCTAGGACTGATCTGCTTAAATCCTAGTGTAATAAAGATACTGTTCTGTGGGATGACATCTACCTGCCACTTGCTGAGAGCTCATGTAAGCCAGGCTCTGTGTGTGTTGAGGGCTTGCCCTGGACCGTCTTAGGATTTTTCAATGTTGCCTAATCCTAAAAATCACCAGTATTTGTTTAAAATTCAGATTCCAAGATCCTTCCACTGGAGCTCTAATTTCTTGCTCTGGAACAAGCCCTAAGATTTTTCATTCCAAGATCTTGGAAGATTTCCAGGCTTGGGCAACTTCAGGATACTGAATCCTCATAATAACATCAAACAGGGTGTACTCTTAGACCCATTTTGTAGATGATAAAACTGAAATTCAGAGAAGTTAAGTAACCTGTTCACAGTTACAGTTAGTGAGGCTTTGAGCCAGTCTCTCAGCTTCCAAGAGAAGCTGTCTTCTCTCTGCCTTCCCTCTATAGCATCTCCTGCAAATACCCCACCACCTCCTGAGGAGTCCAACCAGTCTTAAGCAGTCTGCCTCATCGAGGGTTCTTCCTTGTACTGAGATCTGTCATTCCTTCCTTCTCAAGTTCCTCAGATCACCTGTCTGCTTCTCAGCCTAAACAGCCCCTCAGAGATGGGGTGATTTTTCTCATTTGCCTTAAAACATCTTTTTTCTAAACTAAACTTCTTACATTTTTTCTGCTGTTTTGCCCAAGATGCCAATTCAGTTTTCCCCATCCCAGTTTTCCTTGTCTACCACAACCATCTGGAAGGGTGGTTTGATTTTCAGTCCAGTGGGGTCTCCCATCTGGTAGAATCTTTGACTGCAGACCCATTATGGGTTTGACTGCCCTTAGGTTCGAGAGCTTGAGAAGCAGTTGGGACAGACCCGGAGCCAGTCTGCAGGAACAGTCAGTGATGAGTCTGTCCATCCGGACCCAAGGAAGTTGTCAGCACAGGAGAAAAACCTGCTGAGGATCCGCAGCCTAGAAAGGGAGAAACAGGAAGGCTGGGAGGTAATGTGTACCCCGTAGGAGGTCAGCTGGCCATGTGGGATGGGAGATCACGACTGCACCTGCAGGGCTCTGAGGCATGTCTGAGCCATCCCTTCTAGACAGGAGATACCTGGAGTCTCTGCCTGTGTTCTTCACTTCTTGTCAATCTAGCTTGAGCTGCCTGACAGGAGCCTCACCCTGAGCCCATGGAATGAACTCTGGGTGGCCCCAACCTGGTTGTTTTAGAGATGCTGTACCTGAAACTTCCACTGCAAAAGGGAGTGGGGAGGGTCAGGGCCCAGAGCTATGATGGGTTTGGCTGGCTGAAGAAGGAATGAACAGGCTCAGCCTGGCAGCAGGGGCTGTGTCTCCCTGGCTGGACTGGGAGTGTCAGAACTCTGGCTCACTGCCTGTAGCTCAAGCAGCTAGGGCACCAGCCGCATATACTGGGGCTGGGGGGGTCAAACCGAGTCCAGGGCTGCCAAACAACAATGACAGCTACAACCGAAAAATAGCTGGGCATTGTGGTGGGCACCTATAGTCCCAGCTACTTGGGAGGCTGAGGCAGGAGAATCGCTTAAGCCCAAGAGTTTGAGGTTGCTGTGAGCTATGATTCCACGTCACTCTACCCAGGGTGACAGCTTGAGACTCTTATCTCAGAAAAAAACAAAAGAACTCCAACTCTATCAGCGTTAAGCAACAAAATGCATTTATTAGCCTATGTAAATGAATAGTCCAGAGGTGGTCCAGTTTCAGGTACAGATGGATCCAGAGATTTGGGGGACTTGTTCTCAGCACCACTTTCTCTTGATCTCAGTACCACTTTACTCTCTCCCACAGGGACCCCAGGTAGGCCTGGGTCTGTCCTCTAACCCCTCCTCCAACAGACATAATGGCTTATCTTTCCCAGTAGTTCCAACAAAGTCCCAGAATTGAGACTTTGGTTTAGGTCATGTCACGTGGCCATCCCTGAGCCAATCACTGTGGCCAAGGGTACCATGTTCTTTAATTGGCCAAGCTTCAGACCTCTGCCCTAAGGTTTGGGGAATGAGCTAGCCTCCCCAAACTTGCATTGAAGAGTGGGAGTAGGGACTCCCTCAAGGAAAGTAGTGGAAGACATGGGAGGAGTTGCTGGCAAACCAAACAGTGAGCTGACTTCAGTGGCCCTGGCATCTGGAGACTTCCATTGGTGAGTGCCAACTCCAGGTGAGACCCTGTGCTAAGCATGCTGTGACCATCACCACATTGTACCTCCCAGAATTCTAGACTGTCAGATGGGACAATGAGACTGGAGAGGTGAGCAAGGTCAGGGCCTACTGGACCTTGTGTGCTGGCCAGGGCTTTGGCCCTATATCTTGAAGGCTGTGGAGAATACTGAAGGGCTTTGAGTTGTGCAGGGACATGATCACCTATGCATTCTGGAAAGGTCCCATGGTTGGAGGAAGAGAGATATGAGTTGGAAGAGGCATTGAGGCAGAACAATAATCCACTTGAGACATGACCAAGGACCTTCACCAAGACAGTAAGACTATAGCAGAAGGATCAGACACCTGGGACATTGTGGGTGGACTTTATGGGGCTCAGGGACTGATGGGACACAACACAGAAGGGAAAGGAGTAGGAAAAATTATGAAGGACTTCTGGGAAGTGTAGTGGTTGGGTAGGGGAGACAGGGAGTGAGTTCAAGGGAAGGAAGGGGATTGGAATTTGAAAATGTTGGGTTTGAAATGCACCTATCTTGGACTTAAACATTCACACAGAACGGAATATGTTGGAATGCTTGCACTGACAGTAAGCTATATGGTAAATAGAAGGAAATGATTTTCCATGTACGTTTCCTTGCCAAGCCTCCATAGAGTCTAGAGTGTGTAGGCAGGAGAGCAGCAGGTGAACAGGTGAATGGCAAGTGAGCAACGGCTGCTTCCATGCTAAGGGCTTGTGTTGTGTAGATGCATTTACTCATTTTGCATTGCTGTGATTCACTTCATCAAGGATTTGAAAATACTTTTCTATCAATAATTGATCCTCGGCATCAAGTCAGCTTATGTCGCCCATGACCCAGGACCCTCCTCAGGGTATTGGTCTTAGCACTAAGGGTTTATCTAATCTGCCCCTCACTCTCTGTGTCCCAGCCAAACTGTTCCAGTCCAGGCCTTTGCTCTTCCTCTCATCTCCTTCAGTCTCTGCTCAGATGTGACCCTTTCAGAGAGGCCTTCCCTGACCATGCCATCTCCCTATTCCCTTCCCCCACTTTTCAACTAGCATTTGACATTATCTGTCTCCCCACTAGGATGGCAGCTCTTTGGGGACAGGACTCTGTTTCGTTCTCTGCTGTGTTCCCAGCATCTGTAATAATACTAAGCACATAGTAGGCCCTCAGGAAATATTTGAGAATGGAGAGATGAATGAATGAAAGACTCCAAAGAGGTGTGCTGCATGTAAGTTTCCAGTTTGTAGCTGACAAAGCAAGGTGCAGTCTGGGGGCACTGCATCAGATAATTGTGGATCAAGTGAGGGAATGGAGCGGCAAGTGGAAACTCCCTTATTCTCAGTCTCTGTGTGGTGAGGTGCTGCAGTTTGAACCCTAGACTTAGAACATTTCATTCAAGTATGGCTTTTCTCTTTTGCCCAGCATGGAGTCAGTCATGCTGTCTGGACTACATACCCAGAGCTGGCCACGGGGGTAACACAGGTTTCTGCTCAAGTGTCACAGGCTGAGGGGAGGAATGCTGGCATCCATTAGTGTTTGTGTGTGCTCGGGCAAGGGCAGGAGGCTGAGAGCCACCTGATATCTCTGAGAGGCTGGGGTTGGAACCAAGGGACCCAGCTCTACTGACCTGCTCTGTGGCCTTCAACAAGTGCCCTTGTCCTCCTGGGCTTTAATATCAAGTGGAAGCAAGGGACCAGATACGGCCAAGGTCCCACTCAGCCCTGCTGCCACTTTTTTTTTTTTTTTTTGAGACAGAGTTTTACTAAGTCACCCTCAGTAGAGTGCTGTAGTGTCACAGCTCACAGCAACCTCAAAATCTTGGGCTTAAGCAATTCTCTTGCCTCAGCCTCCCAAGGTAGCTGGGACTACAGGTACCTGCCACAATGCCCAGCTATTTTTTGGTTGTAGTTGGCCCGGGCTGGATTTGAACCCACCAGCTCGGGTGTATGTGGCCAGCGCCCTAGCCGCTGAGCTATAGGCGCCGAGCCAATGTCCTCCCTTTCTAATTCCAGAAACTTGCCAGTGAGCGGGATGCCCTCCAGAGGGAGGTTGAAGAGCTAAAAAAGAAGTTTGAGGGCATGAAGTCTCGGAACAAGGTGCTATCGAGTGAGGTGAAGACGCTCAAGAGTCAGATGGGGACCCTGGTGGAGAAGGGCAGACATGATGACGAGCTCATCGATGCCCTCATGGTATGGCCCAGCCACTCGGGCAGGGTGGGAGCCAGGCCCTAGATCCGAAAAGGTGGGCCCCAGCCCTGTACAGAGTGAGCCTCCTCGTTCACCTGACGTTGTACCTGCATAACACAATGGGCCCCAGCCCCAAGCCCCTGACACTGTGGCAGGGACAGAAGCAGCTCAGAGGGCACATAGAGGGCTGTGACATTGGCAGTGCTGGGCACAAGCCCCCAGGCCTATGGACACCAAAGGAAAATGAAACATCTAAGGGGGAAGAACTGAGATTACACTCTGGGTTATTTTTGAGCAAGGAATGGAAGGGACAACTGAGGGAACTAGTACAAATTCTTGTCTCTGATGGCATAGAGCCCACCCCTGGGCACTTCATAATGGCTAGTCCCAGGACAGCTCCTAGGGGCATGTATTACAATAACATTTCATAGATGGGGAAACGAAGACTCAAGTTGGTTAGAGAACTCATCTAAGACCCTACAGCTGAGTTCAAAACAAGTTTACCTGACTATAAAAATCTTCCTTGATTAGCAGGGTCACACTACTTTCCTGACCCTACATCCTAGACTTTTGTCTCTGGGATGTGAGGCACCCCAGACTTCAGCCCCAGGAGTGACCATGCCTGGCATGGCTGGGGTGCCTAGGGGGTGCTGGCTCAAGCACTTACCTTAGTGCCTAATCATTTCACATGGCGGGGTGCTGGGTGGTACACAGAAGACATGAAATCTAGACCTGCCTCTCTCAGTACTAGACTGTGTGACATTAGGCCAATTGCATTCCCTCTCTGAGCCTCAGCAGCCAGTTTTCAATATAAGGTACAAGGCTGGAGTTCCCTGCATGCCACCATTCTTTGTCACTGGAGATGGCATGATGAGAACTGCAAACCAGCCCCAGCCCTGCCATTCATCAGCAATATGCCCTAGGACTCTCTGGGCCTCAGTTTCCTTTCCTACGAGGTGAGGACAACGGCCCCACCTGTTCCAAATCACTGTCCTTCCAGACAAGAAGCCTCTCCCCAAGAGTCTCCTGGGGGTATTCCAAGGGACAGTGTCTAAGGTGCTAAGCTAAAGGATCCCTGGTAAAGGGTCCTCAAAGGGCAGCCTCCCAGAAGAGTGGAATCAGGTTTTCTTTTTACCCAAATATCTCCCCCACCAGCTGAGCTGTTTTCTGTCATGCCCAAGAGCTCCTTGAGTGTCTTCTCAGTCCCAAACTTAGAGGAAGTTGAGCACAAGATAAGGGCATGGTTCCCACCTGCCTGGTTTAAACTCCCCTGAATGCAGGCAAGGAATGTGTTCCTGCTTCTCAAAGGAACAGGCACCATTAGGTCACGGTATGGGTTGCTTTGGGTGGAGAGGCAGTCGGCTCTTGTCCTTGCCTGACCAGGGGCCATGACTCACTCCAACTTGCACTACTTCTTGGGCCCCTCAGGACCAACTGAAACAGCTACAAGAGATTCTGAGCAGCCTGAGTCTGCAGGAGGAAAAGATGCGGGCATCCCAGCACCACCTAGACCAGCAGCTTCACAGTGAGACTCAGCAGAGCAGCAGTCTGGTTGCCCAGCTGCGGGCCATGGTGGCTGAGCGGGAGGCCAAGGTGCGGCAGCTGGAGTCAGAGATCGGGCAACTCAGTGTGCAGGTAAGGAGGGCACTGGCACAGCTCCAGAATCCATTTCCAAGGCTTGGCGAGAAATCTCAGCTATTTCTACTTCTTTCTGCTTGCATTAGCTCAGGCTGCACCACATCCTTCTTGGCTCCACTTTGGCCACTGGCTTCCATCTGGCTTCCCAAACCATTCTGTACACAAGTTTCCTTTCTGAAACACAAACCTGATTGTATCCTTATTTGACTAAAATCTGTCCCTGGATTCCTGTCACTCTCAGCCTCACCTAATTCTCAAGGATATGGGCTCCTTCCAGCTCACCCTCTCCCACCCTCAGCTGTGGGCCTCATCCTCATGTGCCAAGATGGTAGCTCTAGCTCCAGACATTACATTCACATTCCAGGCAGCTGGATGAAAGAAGGAAAGCTACACTTCTTCACCCAGCTTTCAGGGTGCCCCATGATAAGCTCTTCTGCCACCCTTTCTGCATCTACTCTTCACCTGTCCCTTTCCCCCACCCCTTGGATGCACGTGGCCCTGCTTGCTCCTCACCCCAAGACTGTGCACACACTTTCCCCTTCCTCTCCCTCTCCCACTGCCTCTGTCTGGTCTAGCTGCCCCTGGGCCTCAGGTCTTATCTAGTCATGAGCTCCCCCAGGAAGCCTGGGACCCCATTCTGTGTTACGTGCCCCTCCTGAGTACTCTCCTAACACCCTGTGCATCTGCAAGCCAAACGTTTCCCAGTTGCCTATCTTCCTGTTTTGTCCCCTGAGCTCCTGTTGAGGGGGTACAGCCTACGGTGCCTCGGTGCCTGGCAGTAGACAAAGCACACAGTAGATAAATGCCTGTCTAACAGTGAGTCCTTAAGGATACTTAGTCTTGGCAGGTGCCTTGAGGACACAGAGTGGAGCTGCTAGGAGTTAGCACCTTGGCTCTCTGTGACTCCTCCCTGTGGTGGTGGCGGTCCTGGGGGAGGAAAGTTGGTGGCCCCTGGGGAGAAGGAATCTTTGACAGGAACACAGGTCTTTCAGTCTCAGAAGAGCCCACTACCTCTGGCACCTTGGGAGGTTGACTGGCAGGGATCCAGGGTCAGGTCAGAGGCATGAGCTCAAGAGGCCCCCTGTCCTAGCTGGCTTTGGTTGTTCAGCCTGGTTTGTCCTGCAGCCTGCATCGCCAGGGTCCGGGGTAGCCTAGGGCCACAGGACTGGCTGATGTAGAGAAGGCTGAAGCCTCCCGGGCCTGGGAGCATGAGGAAGGCCTGGGAACATGGAAGGCCTTGCAGTCCTTCCTCTCCTTACTCCCAGCTTTTGCTCACACAGGCAGGAAGTCTAAAGGGGCACACAGGAACATCCCAGCATCTTCACCTCACTGCTGTCCTTGCTCTAGGCACACAAGAGAAGACTGTTCCTACCTCAGAGGTCACCAGCTACTTGGTGGCCAACCATTTTCCTCTAGGCAAGTTAGTACACTGCAAGTCTTCTCAGAATGGGTGGGGCTGGAGGACATGCCAGGTTGTTGGGGGCCCACACTAACTGTCCCCTCCTTGACGGTGGCCTGACCTCCCGCTGTGGGTCCTCTAATGCTCCTTCTTCAGCTCAGCCCTGTTGGGGGACCTAACGCAGCCACACACAAACCTTTTCCCCTCCTTCTCCTCTCCTCCTAAGACAAAGACACAAAGGATCTGACTAGCCCTACCCCCAGAAGTTCAGTGCTGTAAGGCCTTAACCCGACAGGCAATCTGACATGTGCCCCTCCCCTACAGTCCTATATAAAAGGGGTCTCTAACTGCTCCCCAAGCACAGATGCCATCTTTGCATTGCCCAGACCAGTCACCCTCCCCTTTCAATAAACCTGGCTTGAACATCTCTGCTGCCTTGTCTCTGAGCACAACCATTTATACCTTTTAAGCTTCACCAAGTATCCAGAAGAGGAAGGGGTTGAGGGAGGAGAAGGGGCTGGGAGCTCTAGCCTCCTCCCCAAGCTGCCAGCCTTTCTGAGGCCCTGCCAACCTCTCTGGCTTAGGGTGTCTGGAAGGTTCAGGTGTTGCATCTGACGAAGGCAGCTGGCCTCAAGTCACACCTGGCACTCATCCACACGTGTGTGTGGCTGCCTGGAGATGTGGGCCCACTTGGAGACATCAGTCTCTGACCTGCCTGCATACCGGGCCTTGCACCTCCCTCTGGAGCCCGAATGTAGAACAGTTTCCTGGCCCCATCACAGTCTTCTCCTCATGCAGTTCCCTTTCTGAAGAGAGGCATTATTAGATGTCATTATCATGCAAGTAGTGCCTTCACCAAACAGGCCTCGCTTTTCACTCCTGAAAAGAAACCTCTTTCATATCCTCTGAAAGCCCCGAAGTCAAGCCAAGGCCTCCTCCTGCCTTCTCCAGGCTTCTGAGCCAAAGTCCTGAGAAGCGAATGTACATCTGTTCCCTACAGTATCTGCGGAATAAAGGAGTGGGTGAGGGGCCCAGTGGTCCCGAGGCCAGCCCCGCCAGTACCACGGTCCTGGAGGATCCGGGCCTGACCAAGTCCCCGACCTCAGCAGGCAATCACATCGGCAGGCTTGGATCTTCTCGGTAAGAAAAAAATGGGGTGGAGGGGTTGGAAAGGGAATATTAATTATTCAGAGGAAAGGTTGTTTCCTCCTGCCTCTGATGGGAAGCCAGGTCACAATTTTAAGATGACTGTGCTGTTATTGTTCCAGTACGTGGGCCTCTCCTATTACACCAGCCCTGCATCTGCAGGGGCAAGCCAGTTGGGCCCAGATTTTATTACTTCAAGAGCATGCTGCTTGCAGCTCACGTGATAGGCTATGAGCTCAATCTGCATCTTCTCCTAGGACCCTCAAACAGATCCGTACTGGATTCTTCAAGGCTCTGATATCTTCTGGTTCTGTCTCATTTTGAGCAAGCAAGATTTCTGGAAAGAAGGGCTGCCCAGCCAGGGCTGCTGCAAGGGCCAGCACTAGCCAACTTCAGGCTCCCTAGATGCCTGCTGGCCTCTAGTCTACCTCACATGCAGATGCAAGGCCCAGTGGGGCCCAGTCTGCCTTCCCATGGTGATGCACCCCCTCTGCCTTCACACAGCTCAGTGACCAGCCTGGGCCATATGCTGGTGGAATCTGCTCTCACGAGGCCTTCCCTGCCCAGTCCCCATGGGAACTCACCCAGGTATGAACCTAGGACCCCAGCACCCTCACAGACCTTTTCATTCTTGCTTGCTCAGCCAAATTCCCATCCTATTAAATGGAGAGGAAACTGAGGCCAGGCAAGGTCTGGGGACACTCCTCAGGTTATATAAGGACATGCAGGCTCTGAAAAGTCAGTGTCTTGTCCATGGTGATAGAGCAAGCAGCTTCAGAACTAGAATCTTGGCTCCTGACTCTCAGTCCAGTGTTCCTTCCTTCTACCAGAGAGTTAACATGAGGAATCCTCCTGGGCCTGGCTTTCAGCGCGGAAGCATCTTCTGTAAGGGAAGAATTTCACATGATATGGGTTCCCACTTTAAACCACTGATATCTCCTCAGCCCGCTGCCCCCACCCTTTGTTGATAGAATCAAGCCAAAGGGCTTAAATGGCCCTTTTGTTCTTTCTGCCAGCTCATAGACAAGGGTAGCTTTGTCCTGCCTCCGAGCCCTGTCCCGAACCCTGCCCACTGCCCACTGGAGACATGATCCCACCGTCAGCACCCCTACCCCATCCCCACAGGCAAATCAGCTCAGGTTCCAGGCAAGGCCTCTGAGTGGCCCCACTCCCCCATCTGTGTGACCCCAGGCAGATTAGTCCCCTCTCTGATCTGCTATCTCCCCAAAAGCACCCAAGAAACTTAGGCCTGACATTTAGCAACATAGGGAACATGGACCAAGGCCAACCCTACAGCTGCCACACTCATCAGTTGGGGTCAGAAGGGCACTTGGGGGACAGTGGGCTGACACTGGGTCACAGGGCATGTGCCACACTTCTGAGAGTAGGGAGACCTTGTCTCTCTGAGGTTTTAGTCACATAAGTGGGAGCAGGAAGATAGACAAGGTAAGCCCTCCAGGTCCCTTCTAGGCCTGTGTGGTTATGGCTGTGACCTCTGTACAACATGGGGACTCAGGAACCGATGTGCTCCTTGGATGTCCAGACTGCTGGTTCTCAGGCTTGTTTCTTCCACAACACAGAGATATTTACTAAACCAAATCATGTGCAGGCTGTTCCCTCTTGGAGCTTACAATCCCCTCCTGCAGGTGACAAGATAGGGGTTCACAGGGCAGAGTTATCCCAGAGAGTATGCCTGCTTGACCTGGCACAGTTTGAACCCACTCCTCAGGTGACTCTGATGGGTGACTGGGAGGAGGGTGGGGTGAGGGAATCAGCCCTTCCTCCCACTCCTCCTCTCCCTGTATTTGGGGACCACAGAGGCAACTAAAGTAGGGATTTCCACACAGATTGCCCAGGGATCTGCCAGGTTAAATGCAGGTCCCAATTCAGCAGTCTGAAATAGAGACTGGGATTCTGCATTTCTATCAAGCTGCTAGGTGGTGCCAAAGCTGCTGATGCAGAGACCACACGCACAGGGCCATAGAGCACAAATGTATTTAGGATCAAAACATGGGGTGTCTTGAGTTCTCACAGCACATCTCAACCAAGCCCCTCAACATTCAGAGAGAGAACTGGGGTCCAGAGAGAGGAAGAGACAGGCCCAAGACCACAGAGCAAGTCAGCCCAGCCCTCAGTCCACTGCACACCTCTACAACCCTCCCCACACTCTGCATTGCTAGAAGAGCCCACCTAGGGTCCTAGACGGTCTCACTGGGAAAGGTGAGGGCACAGCCGAGAGCAGCTTGGGACTCACATGTAAGCCCTGGGAGGCTGTAGTAGGGGCAGAGCTCACCCTCTGTCCTGGCCTCAGGCCCAGGGCAAGGGAGGTAGGTGGGTCCAGTGGTAAGGAGGAGAGCAGTGATAGGTTTGATCAGGGCGAGAGAAAACTGACCAAGTTACAAAGCAAGCCAGGCTCTAAGAAAGTAGACTGGGGTTACAAACCAAGTCAGAGATGTAGGAGGGCTGGGACAGGCTGGCAGGGATGCAGAGCCTGGGCAGAGTAGCCAAGCACCAGAGGCCACACGGGTACCTTGGGTACCCCAGTCCCTCAAGGGCCAGCTTCCATAGCAGCCAGACTAATTCCAGGGCCCCACAGGAACTGGAGGGACAGAGGTACTAATGCAGCTCTAGCCCTAGTGGGGTCCAGCTTTGGAGCCAGCTAAGTGAGGCCCAAGAACTTCAGCAGGACCAGGAATTAGGGGCTGAAAAGAAGCCAGTGGGGAGGATTAGGAAAAGCTGGGTTTGCTTCCTTCCCTCTGGCTATCTCTGAGAACCCCTGAATGTCCTCCCAGCCCCTGCATCACCAGCACAGGGGTAAATGCATATCTTCAGGCTTCAGATGACTTCTGCCCTCTGCCCTCTGCCCTGGTCCCAGGTTCTTGGACTCCTCAGAACAAAAAGGCTGGCAGGCACAAGTGACGGAGATCAAAGCCCTCTGGCAGGCTGCGGAGGTGGAACGTGACCGGCTCACAGAGTTTGTCACTGTCCTTCAGAAACGGTAACGTGGTGCCCAGGGATGTTCTTTCATGGGTCTACATGGGGTGGCATGGGTGTCTGGGGCCACGCCTTATCCATGACAGGGTCTGCCTCACTTGGCTTCCACAGTGTCCAGTACATTGGTAGCCATGAGTCATGTGCCCACCAAAGGGGGCCCACGACCTGGGGGGTCCTGTCATCACTGATTTGCCCTTATGAACAACCATATCCTGTGTGCACCTAGTGGGACTGTCACTCAGCATGTGGACATGAGGTGGGAGTCTCAGGGGAGACACACTCCTGAATGGTTAAATCAGCCAAATCAGTCCAGCCATAATTTAAGTCTGTGGCAATCCTGGCATGGTGCTCAGTGCTGTGAGAGGGTTTGGTAGGAGGGCACAGCCTGGAATGATGTCTGGAGTTGCAGAGAACAAGAGCTGCTGGTGGATGGGGGAGCTGAGACTTCTCTGGGAGGCCGAGAGGGAAGCATGTGGCCCGAGGCAGTGAAGCAGGAGGTATGCTTTGCTCCAAAGGGTTGTTGACAGACTTCCATTCAGATAAATCAGCGCTCCTCACTCAAGTGACTCTTTTGGCAAGAATCACAGGTGTCCATGCCAACACATGGCCCAACCATGTGACCTCCACACTGAAAAATATAAAGGACACCACTGAGTTTCTGCTCTAACAGGCCGTATCATCATCAGTCAGAGCTCTTTGATGACAGACAATAGAAACCAATTCTGGCTAAATTAAGTGAAAGACACATTTTTGAAAACTATCAGGAGACTCCAAGGCACAGGGCAGGAAAGGAGCCCAACAAAGGGCAGACATCTTGGTAGCAGGGACCCTTGAGCAGACTCCTGGGCCACTGGAATGACATGGCCCAGTGGCTTTCAGTTCTTGTGCCTGTGGCTTCTGGAGAGAAGGTCTGAACCACCTGTGCTGCTCCGTGTCTGCCGTACATGTGAGGGCGCTGACTGGAGGGACCTCCAGGTGCTCACAAGACGCAGGAGGGGTGGTTTGCCAAAGGGGAAAATGGGGGACTGTCACCAAAACAAGGAGTTAGGGGTATGGGCAAGGCCATAACCATGGATGCTCACTACCTAAGTGGTGAAGGTGGTCAGCCTTAACTTTTTTCTTTTCAAGTATTACACAGAAAGGATATGAGTTTCAGACATGCTTGATATAGGAGGAAAGGAACATAATTCTTTTTGTGTAATTGAATTTAATGGATAGTAATATCTGTAGTCTATTAAATGGCAAAGACATGCTCAGTTCAGATTTTCTCTCACTTCCCTTGATTCCCTTGAGTTACATCTGCCTTTGGAGGAGTTCTGTGAACCAGGGTGACTCAGTTACCTGTCACTGTGTAACAAACCATCCCAGACATCACGCCTGTGTTTTTCTCATGATTCTGTAGGTTGGCTGGGTAATCCAGCTCCACAGAACCTTGGCTGGGGTCATGCACCTGGACCCATGCAGCTGGAAGTGTGGCTGGGGTGCCTCAGTCTCCTTCACTGTGGCCTCTCTCCATGTAAGGTCTCATCTCCAAGGCCTTTGCACAAAGGGCTGGGATTAGGTGAGGCACCCAGGGCACAGCATTAAGGGAGCATTCACTGTCAATCACCCACAGCACCTCTTATCAGCTGATGCCCTTGCCCTTTTGCCCTTTTGGGGCCCTTGAGTTCATTCTGCTGCTCTATGTCATCTTCAGGTGTCAGGGTATTCTCTGAGGCTGTCCCAGGTCCATCAGCAAAGATACACCACCTTTTTTCCTCTGGATTATTGCTGTATCCCTGGGCTCTAACAAGAAAAGGAGGCCTAGGCAGCCTTTGCACTCAGACCCCCCTCAAACCTATTTGATTTTCTCATCCCAAAGTCCAGGGCCTTTCTTTCTCAGAGATCCTCAATGTCTGCTCCTTTTCTAATCTTCAGGAGCAGTCTCCGTCGCACAGGGGACATCTTTCTCTGCCCCACTCCCCATACTCTGCCCTACAAATTCCAGCCACCAGAATTCTATACTCACCCCAACGCAGCTCCCTAGTCTCCTGTCTTTACCCCAGTGAGACCGCTGTGCGCTGCTTGGGTTCTCTTCATGCCCCTACTGTAGTCAGAAAGTACCTCAGGCAGATAGCTGGGGTGGTGGTAGATCTCACATCCTTCCTTCTCCTTCGCTGTAGTCTCGTGTCTGATATCTGTTATCCTATTGTCCACTATCTGAAAACAAGTTATGTCTTACATTGTATACATTTTTCTGGTTATTTGCAATAGGGAGAACTAGTCTGCTTAGTCTGTCATGGCAAAAGTCACTAAATATGTCTCTTTTTTTTAAAAGCATATAGTTGGATTTTTAAAAAATTCATTCTGGGAATTTCTGTATTTGAACAGTGTAGTTTAGCCCATTTTCATTTTTGTAACATTTTATTAGCTTAACTCTACTTTCTATTTGCCATGATTTTTCTTTTCTCCTTTTCTCCTTTCTTCGTCCTTATATTGGATTGATCAAGTTTTATTTACCTTTCTTCGGTATGGGTTTGGAAGTTATATGTTTTATTTCTGTTATGTTAGTGGTTGTCCTTAACTTTTTGGGGGGGGTCAAGACAGTGTTCTACCCTATGCCCTGAGCAGAGGGCAATGGCATCATAGCTCACTGCAACCTCAGACTCAGGCTGTGGGCATCCTGCTGCCTCAGCCTCCAAAGCCACTGGGATTACAGGTGCTCGCTGTGGTGCCTGGCTGAGTTTTTCATTTTTTTTTCTTGAGTGGGGGGTCTCTTATTCAGACAAGCCTCCAACTCCTGAGCTCAAGCAATCCTCCCTCCTCAGCCTCCCACAGTGCTGGGATTACAGGCATGAGCCGCCACTCCCGGCATAGTTACCTTTAACTTTTAACATAAAACACAGAAAGTCTAAAGTCAAGGGTTTTGTCACTTTGAACAATAGAATAAATTTATAATGCTTTGACTCTGATTTCTCTACTGTGTTTTTTTCATATCGCTATTATCTAATATTTATCTTGCATATTCTGTTATTAAACCTCCTAAAATTAAACTAAGTTAGTCTTGAATATGACATAGTTGATATTAATTTCCTTTTACCAACATGTTTATTTATTTTAGAGACAGGGTCTTGCTCTGTTGGCCGGGCTGAAGTGCAGTGGTGCCCTCATAGCTCACTTCAACTTTGAACTCCTGGGCTCAAGTGATCTTCCTGCCTCAAGTAGCTGAGAACTGGAAGCATGAGCTGCTATACCTGGCTGAATTTTAAATTTTTGCATTACAGAGACAGAGCCTCATTATGGTGCCTACCACTATTCTTGACAACCTCCTAGCCTCAAGAAATCCTCCCACTTTCACCTCCCAAAGTGCTACGATTAGAGGTGTGAGCCAGTATGGGGTCTAAGCATTTAAAAATATCTTCACTCACTGTTGCTTTCTTGCATCTCATTCTTCCTCCTGGGTTCATTTTCTTTTTTTATTGAGGTACATACTTCGTTCAGTGGGGCCCTGTAAATAGTAAACCTGAGCCTTCGTTTATTGTTAACATGTCATTGTTATACCTTTCTCTTGAATGAGAATTTAAGAGAACTTTGGGCATAGAATTCTAAACAGATGGATTTTTTTTCTCAGCACTTTGAGGCTATTCCATTACCTCTACTGTTGATAAAAGACATCTCCTATCAGTTTTATTGTCATTTGTCCTTTCTCTCTGGATACTTTTCAGATATTCTCTTTGTCTTTGATATTTTGACATTTCCCTGTGATGTGTCAGAGGCGGGTGTGGGTTTTCCTACTCAGGAGTTAGTGTCCTGTTTAACCTAAGGACTTTTTATATTGCCAAGGACTTCTCTCCATATGTTGCCTTGTCCCTATTTCCTCTATTATTTTCATGTAAAGTTCCTAGTCAAGATATGTTAGACTTTGTTATTCTCTGTAATTCTTAACCATTCTTAGTAATTTGGGCTGAATTCTGAGTGATTTCTTCAAATCTGTCTTCCAGCTCACTAAGTCTCTTCAGTTGTGCTTCATCTACCATGAATATAATATTTTAATAACTGTATTTTTCGTGTACAAAAACCTCCTGTTCTCTTTCTTTCTTTCTTTCTTTTTTGAAATAAGAGTCTCATTTTGTTGCCCTGGGTATAGTGCCATGGCATCATAGCTCACAGCAACCTCAAACTCTTGGGCTCAAGCAATTCCCTTGCCGCAGCCTCGTACAGTAACAGGGACTACAGGCACCTGCCATATGCCTGGCTATTTTAGACAGGGTCTCACTCTTGCTCAGGCTGGTCTTGAATTCGTGAACTCAAGTGATCCGCCTGCCTCAGTCTCTCAGAGTGCTAGGATTACAGGCATGGGTATTCCCTTTCTTATAGCATTTGTTCTTTCATCAAAATTTCTTGCCATTCTCCTTTTAATAATTTTAAACTTACTTAGTCCTTTAAAGTTGTTCTATCATTTTCATTACTGAGAACACCAAGTAATGTCTGTGGATTCTCTCCTCACCATGAATTATTTCCTTGTACAGTTTGCATTTGTGTGTTTTTATAAGCTTATCTTCAGTGGGAGCGCTTAGGTTATGAAAATGCTCCTGTGGAGTGGTTCCACGTTTGTTTCTGTGGAGCTCTGGGGGTTTCAGTGGCCTCTGATTGGTACTTTGTGCTAATTTATTGGCTTAGGATTTCTTGAACACATGAATGCTGCCCTTGTGTTTCAATTTCTTATGATCAGCACTCTGCCCCTTCCACCCCCACTCAAGGCCTTGATAGACTGCAAGCTTCCTTACCACCCTGAACTCATAGATGGATATTATCATAGTCCTCTTATCACAAATGAAGCATTCTTTTGGGGCTTCCAGAATTATGCTGCTTGGTACATTGTAGAAGCCCAAATTTATGTCTTCTGCTTACATGTTGGCATTAAAACCATCGCCTTATGCTATTGGAAGTTTGACTACTTTTCCTACTATGTATACTTACTTATAGCAAAAAGCTTCTTTTTGGAGCCTCCAATTCCACATTCTT